AATTCAAATAAGGTATTACAGTAGGGTTGCAAATACAGATTAATTCAGCAACTTAATCCCAAGATGTTTCAGTTTCGGAAACTCGGTCTTTGGACGAACTTCTTTCGGACAATCTGATAAAAGAGTATTCTGTAAAAAATAGCATTTGAAGTAGCTTGCATTTTTCACATTGACTTTAGTCGCCCCTATATGTTCAAAGAAACGTTATGGAAACATGCAAAAACTATTCTTGCTTGTATAGATTTGGTAGCAGATTACTTTTTACTCAAACTTTATACTTGCAGGAAGGTTATATTTCGGTTTTAAAGAGTTTCTTATCATAAGATTTTTTAAGAACGGGAAATGACCACGTAGAGGACATCGTATCCGTCAATTTTTAATGATTAGCTATAAAGTATGCTACATCATCCATATCCATTGCCAAATTTTATGAGAATTGTGACCCCTTCCCCCCAGCGTAGAGAAATGTGTGATTTTACTTAGGCAGAACGCGTACAGCGTGTTGTTTGGAAATCCTAAGCGAAATTTTTAACGACCGAATCGGTTCAAAATCATCCGACAATTTTAAAAGACTTTAAAAAACCGAAAAATTCCGTTTCTTCGAATGTAAGTTAAAAGAAAGCGTAATTTGCTACTTAACGGAGATAAAAAGGATATTTTTGTAAATGTTTTCCATAAAATGTGATTGAATTTATTGGGGTATGGAAAATCAAGGATGAAGATACAGGCTACTTAAGTAGGCATTTTTAAAGATCGTGCTACTTACAGGTGTTCAGAGAGGATGGTAAATTGGCGTCTCGTCAATCGGTTACGGGAGGAGTTAGCCTCGTAACCGACCGGGGAGCGCCTATACACTATTTGTAGTATTGCCAATCGAAATCGACAGAAAAAAGTTCCCGTGGCGCAACGGTTAGAGCACTGGACTTTTAACCAACAGACTGTGGGTTCGAGCCTCAGGTGTTGCAGAACCTGGAATGGCCATTTTTGACGTTTTAACCGTCGTCAGTCAGCCTGAAGTGCAAACTCACAGGTTTATTATGGCTAGCTCATGGTGACTAGTAAGCCAGAGGTGGCTATTCAAGCAGGAATCGGACTTGCACTTAATTATTCTCATTATCTCCCCCCCGCCCTCAACTTGTCGTGTTTGGTTAGCAAAAAAATTTAGGTCCAGCTCGCTGTTCCGAAATGGGACTGAAATGGCTTGTCATTTCCAAACCTATCGAAGATGTGAATTTGACAACTCGAAGATTTCCAAATCAAAAGTCAGGAAATACTGTCAGGGCTGGGCAGGTTTAACTGGGCCAAATGATCTTACAATGTGCTGTGCACGCAGCTGCTGTCAACTGTCACCTCAGTCCAGTTGTGTCAGTTAGTGTCCGCTTTCGAACTTATTTGACTCCAGGACCTGTCACCTACAAGTCCAACAATGAAATGACACACATTCATTAGCTGGCGCCAAGATGCGAGTGGCTCGACCAGCGAATCGACCAGGAGCAGGAAGCGGGCCATGGGGTCTGAGTCAGAGAATGAGCTAGCAACCACCCGAACGGACTGACTCGATAAAAGTATGGGGCGGACAATAGCACGTGGCTGGGCGGCAGGCGTAGGAAGGGACTGCCACAAACCCTCTGAGACGTGACGTTTAACGCTCCCTGATTGTCCCAAAACGCGTTTGCTTGTTTGTGACGACGATTTATGCACTACGTCCAGGTGGTCCGATATTATTCTCTATTGTCTCTATTAGAAAGGTAATTGGGTTCAGGAACTCTTGTTAGTTAGATCCTAAGAGGTTTCGACCACGAGGACCACAAACGCATTCACGAGCCCGCAACAAAAGGCAAAATCGAATTGTGAATACGGGGACAACTTCGGATAATGCTTTACTTCTTTTCCACTGCCAAGTCTGGGGTGTGTGTGTGTGTGTGTGTAGCCATGTAAGATGGCATTTGCGCGCATTTATTCATGTGCTGGCATCCACCCAGCCGTCATTTTTGCCAAAAAACGGCTCTTAAACAAGGCTAGCAGTTAAAACAGGGTAGTGAACGGTCAGGGTAGTCATTGAAGCGCAAGCACACACACACATTCCGAATGCAGCGCGTTCGGAAGGAAATGACAGGAGCACGGTGCTTAGTAGGTAACGGTAGTTTTTCCGGATAGCCTTGCTTCTAGTAGTTATTCCGCCAAAATGCTATCTAACTAGAAGAAACCGGGATCGATACGCATAGGCCTAAAATAGGATTTTCGACTTAAAAAAACCTATAAGCCTTCAACCGTAGGCGTGAAAAATAGGCAACATAAAGGTTGAACAATTCAGGGATAGTTATTTAGCTAATTATTTACCATACTGGCAGCACATATACCAGCTAAAAGCCCAGACGCTTGCCATACAGTGGCAGAATATTGGCCTGGGTTTTTAGCTAGTATATGTACAGCCAATGTGATAAATAATTACGTAAGTTGTACCTAGAAGATTGCATAAACAGC